CCTTGAAACCATACAGATTTCCAGCTGTTTGTGCACTAGGGTTCTCAGGTTGGATATGGGATGGGGCTTCCATAACATTATTCTTAAACAGGTCATTGTGCAGAATGAGGTACCATGAAGCTCTGTGAAACCAGATGAAGGTACTTGTTACCTCTTACTTTCCAAGCCCCAACTTTTGGCAACAACCTGGCTATTTCTGCCCTATGGAGACTGGAGAATGGGGAAGGAGGAGGAGCATGGAGGTGCCAGTGACAAGACCAGAACCAGCTACATTTGCAGTTATATTCAGAGGAGTTTTTTGGGAAGAAAATAGTGCCTCTTAACCAGAAGGCATAACTTCATTCAGAGGTACACTACACTGACTGTGAATCAGATAGAGGTGAATAAATGCAAGCCTGGGGAGCCATTTGCACCTCTGAGATGCAACCTAAAATTCTCCATGGAAAACTTTCAACTCAGTTTGCACAGCTAGAAAGAAAAATAATGTTGTTTGCTTCCAGCTTGTAAACTTTACAAAGCATTTGTACCCCCATATGATTACAATCATAAAATCATAGAGGTAGAAAAGACCTCAAGGGCTATTCAGTCCAACCCCTTGCCATGCAGGAATACAAAATCAAAGCACCCCTGACAGATGGCCATCCATCCTCTGTTTAAAAGCCTTCAAAGGAGGAGACTCCACTCTCTCCAAGGGGGTGTTTTCCATTGTCAAACAGCTCTTGCCATCAGGAAGTTTTTTGTAATATTTAGGTGGAACCTCTTTTTCTTTAGCTTGATTAGCAGTAGCCATGGAAACTGTAGCCTTCCTAGATCTACTGCGAAAGAGACAAAAAAGATCGGAGAGACAGTTATTTAAATAAGAAAATCATGATCCCATATAAATCAGTATTTTAATGTTTCCTCTCTTCAGTTCTTCTGTCTGGTGAATCTCATCACAGGTAGACACTAATTGCTTCTTATTTTGACATTCAGAATTATAAATGTTACTGGAATGTACGCACCAATTCTCTGATCCAATTGACTGATTGATCACTTTATTTCTTGAGTAACACTGCCTATTAGAGTGTCTGGTAAAGGAATGGGGGGGGGAGAGAATGACATTACCTCTCTAAGATTTTGGTTTATGATAATGACAGCTAGATTTACTTTGAAGATGTAATCCTATATCTTCTTTTCAGAGGGAAACATTGTAGCAATGAATGGCCTATACTGGCTAGAGTTGGGTAGACAACCCAGTGCCTTCCAAATGTGTTGGGCTATTAGAGATGCAAATAATATTAA